TTTTTGCAGTTTTTTAATATTGCTTACATACAAATAGCTGATATGTCTGTTTGCCATTTCTTCCGGGTAACATTTTCCTCGACGCTTTTGTGAACACGAAGAAAAAGCCATTTATAGTCCAAAAGAAAAGAGCAGTTTCTCTCTAACGGACAGTTGTCATCATGTGTGATGATAAAGGACCATCTAATTTTTTGACCAAATATTTAAACATCTTTTTTTCTTTTTATATATATTTTTTACTCTACAATTATTAAATAAAAATCCCACTGTGCCTCGGATGCCAAGAAATTGTTGCGACAACTGCTGCTTACAAAATCATTTATAGAATGCACTAAAACCGTGTAATGTATAGATATACACATTTACTTATATATATAGTTCAATCTAACTAAACCCATAAATTCAATAGCTCCAACGCTTTGCTATTGAAATACCAAAAGCGTTGACCTCAATTCCTACAGATGTGCACGGATTTCTTGTGAGCATTTCAAACATGCAGCACGCAGTCTACTTGCGAGCGTTCACACGTATTTGTGTGAGTGTAACACCATCAGCACTGCCGCTAAGCCGCCTTTATATCGAACAAGTGCTCGCTCCTGCATAGAAAAAAGGAAGAAAAAAACACAGACTCGTAAAAATTCGTTGCACTGTTGCACATACAAAGGACACACCTGTTTCCATTTCACATTGACGCAGTGCAGTGATTTCTTTAAATACTCCTGTGTTATTATTTTTATTTTCTTATTTCGGCGTTTGCTCACACTTGTGCTTTACTTGTACTGCCCGTACAATATCCTGTCAGGAAGTTCATTGAACTATTGCTGGGGGGCTAAATTGAATAGCGCTCAAGAAACGGTGAACATATGGCTTCTACAAAATTTTTTCAGCATGGTCTTTGAGCTATACATAATATATGTATATAATATACGAAAGTTTTACATAATATTTTTGGAAGAAAATTTTGAAGCTATTCATAAATGACGGCGCTACCACTTTTATCGCTACCACTTTTATCACTTATTGCTAAACATTGAAAATACATCATGAATTGTACACTATTTTGAAAGATTGGCTTTAAGAAATTTAAGCGAAGTATAATGGTATTGATTTCTTCCCAAGTCCTAGCTATTCGTATCCGTCCTGATCCATTTCAATCTCCCTCCCAAAATAGTGTAAGGGCTTCAGTGCTAATTGTGATTTAGTTGTAGTTTCTTTTTAGCTTTTAACATTCACCGAAAATCGTGTAGTAACATTTGGACAAAGATGCCAACTTCTCAAAATTTTCTTTCCACTGTCACTCTCTAATGCTGCTTGGCTTCTTAGCATTACTATGGAAGTTCAGAACTCCGCTTGTAGCCATTTTGATACTTGACTTAAGTGAATAGGTGAAACACGTTGTCGGAAAATTTAGTGCTTCTCAAGATTCTATGAACTAAATATCTAGTTTACTGAGTTTTGTAGTGCATGTATACCTGTAAAATTTTTCTTATAAATGCGTTTTAGTTTGAAGCAGAAGGAAGTTCGAATAACTGTGGGTACTGAGAAGCTCTCTCACATACTGTGTTCGGCTGCGCTAGCTATATTAAGGCTCATCTTTCCCTCCACCTTTTTTGAGACAAAAACATTTTCTAAATATTTCTTAACTGAAAAAATTCCAATAGGGTAAGCGTTACTACGGCTAAAAATTAATAAAACTTCGGTTTCGGTTTTGTATACTGCCAATAAATAGTAAAATTTCAAAACGAAAACCAAATACTAGAAACAAAGTTTAGGATAATAAGACTTGCCAAATATAAATATTTAAATATATTTATATCTATATGTAATATAGACTAAATTGAAATAATTCAGCACATTTAAGACAGCTGTGCTCACAGCGCTTGACTATCTAACGTCCTGAAATTTAAAAATTTCAACTACCAACTACAAAACGAAAACTCTATGCATATGCCACAAATACCCATACTGGACGGGGCGACCAACCGACCGGCCAAGCGAAAAAAAAACTGCTAACTATACTGACCCAAACACTTGTTTCACTCCAGTGAACGCATAAAAATTATATTTAAATAGCTGAGCTGCAGCCCACCTGCTGGCAACATGTACGAGTACGTGCAACAAACGGTGGTAATGCACACAAGTCCTGCGGGCAGGATATATTATGCAATGTGTTCATTACTCGCATTGCGATGACCTCTGTTTGTGTTATTCTAGATGGTAGGAGGAAAACTTGGCATTTTTGACCGGCGAACGGTACGAGCAAACTACGAGCATTTTGTGTGCATAATTATTCAAATTACAAGCAAGCAACATAACGGAGAGTGATGGAATGTGACATGGCTGAGGGCGAATGTGTGTACGACGAACGCCGCGCGTACCTTACCTTTTGATGAGTGCCTTCCTTCTTACTTTTTCTTACTTTTTTTGTGATAAGGCAGACGGCGATTGCAGGAAAAACTAAGTGACGCCTGCGATTGTTGTTGTTGGTTTCAACTTTCATATGTCGTTGCGCCAGCGTATTTGCATTCGTGAATGTACCTACATATGTATGTGGGTTTGTGTGCGCATTGGCGCGCGACAGTCGCCTGCCAACACCACTGCCGCTGTCCGGCGCATTTCCGCGCTGCGCTGTTGGGAGGATACTTCAAAGCGAGTGCCTAGACAGGTAAGCGGCTAGTTGTTGAAGGTGGTGTTTATTGCTGGTGGTGGTGGTGGTGGTGGCAACAAACGCAGTTAGCGCTCACTTGCCCCGCGCGGTGTGCAGTGGTGCATATTAAGCGTGGCAGTGCAACAGCCGTCAGCTTTGCACCGAAATTCGTTTGGTCATGCCACCGATCGCACTTGTTTTATTCTAAATATATTTTGTGTTGCACCATTTGTTGTTGTACGTGGTGTCGCCTGTCACCTGAACGTGCACAAGTTGTTGTTTATTTCCATAAGTTTTTTTTTGTTCTTTGTTGAAATTAAAAATGTGCTCCCCCTTCACTTGCCACAGGAAAAGCGCATTAGATATTCCATGCGGGCGCGAGCGCTTTGCTCCCGAACAGGTACATTAAGCGTGCCACAGTTTTTAATGAGCCCGCATGCCACCGCAACGTGCTTGTGCCACACCAAATTTACTCGTTCAACGAATGCCAGAATAATACATGGCTTTTGCGTTACAAGTAGCTGCACATTTGTTGCAAAGTATTAATTGCTCTGTTTTCATATAACAAAATACAATTTACAATACTAATGTATAGCAACCACTTTGTTGCACACGTAAATGTAAGTTTGCAGCAAGTGTGGCATGCATCGCTATGCGCATGTGTGCGCTAAAGGTGCTTTGCACGAGCAAGTGTTTGTGGCAAGCTGCAAGGATACGTTTGGCATATTACATGCCACAACTAGCAGACCAGGTTGACTGTACTTTTGTTAGTTTCTGTGAAGTAATGTTATTTTTAAAGACAGTTGCAAAGGTCAATTGAAGCGAAATTCAAACTATAAACATTTTGCAATTTATTCTTGGTGGCCCTAATGGTCACAGATATGCGGGTTGGAAAATATATGAACAGTGTAATTTAGTTAAGTTGCGGTTGGATTAAGAGAAGCGTTGCAATGAAGAAGTAGTGTTGTAATAGAAAATAAAATTTCAGCTAAGGTGCAACATTTTAGTGCAATGTTGTATTAAACGGTTATTCTAATAAGAATAAAATAATTTATAGCTTATCTAAAGCAACTAATTTAAAAATTAATTTAAAACAAGAAAAAACGTTAAGCTGCTCTGAAGCTATAATACCCTTCACAGGTTCATTTCTTATAGCATAAAAGGGTAAGATCGGCAGAACAGTTTGTATGGCAGCTATATATAATATTTCTTAACTAGAAAAAGACGTGTACCAAATATCAGATAGGTAGCTTAAAAACTCTGGAACCAGTTCGCTTACAAACTGTTCAGGGTAGGTAGTATTGATGTACATTAAGGCTGAGTGCCACTAGACAGTTGAAGTTCCAAAAAGGATTTCACGGTTATGCAATCGGAATTTTACTTTAGTCCAAAAATTCAAAATATTTTTTTTTTTTTTTGATGAGGAATTGATATTGCTACAGTGTCAACAAACCCCTCTAAATCTTATTGTACACCACCTTAAGGTAAGTAGCGATACCCTATCAAGTTCAACGAAAAATTTCTATATATATCGCTACTGTACCTCACAATATTCTTGTGTGTCTGCCGACTTGACATGCAGATCTGTATAGCTTTCTGGAGATTTTCCATGAGTACTATTTTCGAAATATACATATCATAATAATATACCATAAAGGACTAGGTTTTGTCTAAAAAATACTTATTTTTTAAGCCAAAGCTATATATACACCTGTTTTGAGAATCAATAAGCCATAATATTTATATGAATTCCATGCAATACACGATAGTCATATATAAAATTTGTTCCAGCCTATCCTGACTCTCTTCATCATCTAAAATGTAATAACTTTCTAAACGTATTTTATTCATTGTATTAGTCGGAAGAAACGCTAGGGCAATAAACCAACATTGCTGCAGGTAACTCACTCTCATACTTAACATGGCAATATAGACTGAACAAGTTCAGTTTGCTGGATATAATAACTCACCGGATAACTGAACCTTTAAGCGTTAGAGTTTGGAAGAATCTCTGTGAATCGTTTCCAGTGTCCTTTATTTAAGAGTAATCAGAGATAGTACGGGTAACTCTATGACGGTATGCAATTCGCTCTCTGAGAGTTACTCAGCGATCACCGTTTATTACTTTAACATTGATCTAAAGAAGATTTGTGTATTGAAAGAGAATGAGTATACTACTGGTAGTAGTAAAGGGCATTTTAAAGCAATTCCTTTTATGCTATGAAATATTTGAATAATTTTATAATCATCTCAAGTATGGGAATATATGAAGATTAATATGGGGTCATCTTCACTATACCGCTGAAATGGTAAAGAACGTTATACAGTACTAAATTTAACAAAACACAGTCTGTTTGTTTTTCTTGGAATGTTCGTCAAATAGGCTAAGCATTTATTAAATAAAAACACAACTACAAATGAAACACAAATTTAAACTAAACAATGATTGGGAATTTCATAAAACAAACCTATGCTTTTATGCTAATTTCAGCCAACACTAACTAAAATCAGTTAACAGCTTCAAAATTGACCAAAACCTAACTAAAATATACTTTAATATATCAATATACCTCCTCACTTACTATAATACTGTTTCAACTTCCACCTACAATCATTCATTAATTCTTTTAGATGACTTTTCACTATTTATAAACTTATACCAAATTGCTTATGCAAACTGGGCACAAGTTCATCCCAGCGCGCCTGAAACAAGTTGCCAGCCACCAGCTCCATATTGTATTTCCCAGCAAAGTCCATAGAAGAGAACTTCTCATGCCCAGTAACATCGGTGTTGGTCATTTTGGCTTCATCGAACACTTGTTTTCCGTGTTGTTTGTAAATAAGGAACACATACCTTAGTACGCCACTCATTTTGGGTGCCATCGGTCCAATATAAGGATCTATAATATCACCCTTGGCGATATCGACACCTGGTACATTGACAACCAACCAGTGTAGCCATTCACGCAGCAGCGGATTCTGTCGCGTTGGTATATCCGGATTTACCATGATCACTGTATAGTATGCATCTGGCTCGAATGTCCAATATAGCTTGGGTTCGTCTTTGGTTTGAGTCGGTGTGAACTCCTCGCCGTTGCCAACGTCTAAACCATTATTATATTCAATCTGGAAAATAAATAAAAATTTATCTAAATATCGAGTATTCAAAATGTGTGAATGTAGTATTGATTTTCGGGAAATGTTGTCGCAAAATATCACATAACCATGTACTGCAGTATGGAGTTGAAAAAAAAATATATATAGATAGAGTGAAGTGCTTTTTTGATTTGTCCAATACGATATATATTTTTATATATAGTATTCTCAGTTATTTCTCTATTTTATTGAACCAACCTTCAACATCTCCTTAGGCGGTTCATCCAGTATATCGGACACTACCTCCATATCCCGAAAAAGCTTTTCGACTTCATTGTCCACAGCAATTGCACAACTTGCCACAAGGCAGACACATAAAATGCGTTGCCACATCTTCCAAAACCTCAACACAGCACACTGTATGAGAAGTCGCCAACAAATGTCGACATTTATATGTGTTTTCAATAAAGGCTTGTGAATAATTGCGTTAATTTGAGTGAATTATAGAAACTTTTGATCCATATTTGCTAATGATTTCACTGTGATTAGCTGCATGCAATTTGCAAACAAAATATTTATTGTACAAATTGGCTGGAAAATTAATGTCAATTCAAAGTTTTGCAGTTATTGTTATACTTTGTTAAAGTGATTTTTTAAATTGCGTGGTAATGCGTGTGCATTCACATCTCTCTACTTGTATTATTATAATTATTTGAATACCATAATCAAAAAGTAATTTCATTTAAAACTCACTACTGATTTTAAATATTTATTTTTTAGGTGATACCTCAGTAGAGTTGTCACTGAGGCTATTGCGTTAACTAAAGCTTGGACATAGCGCCGGAAACCAAATTGAATCAGTAAACGGACGAAGCTTATGCTTTACTCTGTAATATATAGAATGTACAATATATAATATTAAGCAATTTTAGCTTTAGAATATTAGCTGCTCGTAAATAAATTTGAAGACTTAAGATCAAAGTAATGACCACCTTATACTGAGTCATTGGTAAGTAACAAGTGCTTGTGCATTTTAAAAACATTTTTATAAAAAATATTTTTTTCACAGTATTTATCAGAACGCTACTCAACCTAATTATCAAAACAATACTATACTCATGCCAGCAGTTTTCTCCGTTTTCTTTTTAGCTTGCGGAAAGAGGACAACAACAGATTAACCACAATGTGATCCAAGACTATAAATATTCAATGGCGAGATTTTTTACATTCAAACTGGACAACATATTACAACGTTTATAAGCCTATGACATACAAGTTTTTGAGAAGAGTTAAATTTACTGGATGCAATATTCGATAAGTTATAAGTTACTTAATAATATAAAACATTAAGGTATATTTTTAGCATCACACTCATACTACAAGTAGATATGAAAGTAATTAGCATGGAACTACTTTTACAAATATCCGTTTTTTAGGTTAGAAAGTATAAAGTAATTATATTTTTGTTAAGTAACAAACCGCAATAAGTCAATTTTAAGCACGAACCATGCCTGACTGACGTCGAAAATAAAAATACAATTCGGACAACATCCAATGTTAATATTTTTGTTTATAGTTTTTTAGTAATGAAAAAATTAACGTTGATGGCTGAAAACAATAAATTTTTTAGTACAGTTCAATAATAGTATGTCAAAATATTACTATTGGAAACCGTTCACCAGGTTGCTTAACAATTTTAAGTCGACTTGTCTGGCAAAGAAATTTTGTATACAATTGAGCTGGTTTTAACAGGATTACATTGTTTTAAATCATTGAAATCTCATAACTTTTAATATTGATGAAGTCGTAGATTACTTGATTCGATACAAAATTGTTAGAGATTAACTAAACTGTCTTTCATTTCAGTTTTTAGTAAAAATTTCTTAATCGCTTTAGAGATTTCTAAATAAATTATTCGGTTGCTTGAAAAAGTAAGTAAGGTGCTCCATCTGACCGCAAGAAACCGCACTTAAGCCTTCATTAAGCCCATTGTGTGCCAAAAGAAGGGTCATTATATATATACATATACATATATATATATATATATAAACATATGTATATAAAATGTATGTAATTATTTTATTTAGTTAAAAAAGTAAAAAATAAAAATTGTAAAATAAAAATTTTATTTCTTCTATAATACTATAAAAAAGTATTTTGTTACCCTATCTTAAGGTAAATTAAGTTTCAATCCTCTAATATATATAAATAACATTTGCATAAACCATATATTTAACATCTTAAACATTAGCAGAGCAAAGATTTCAATGTGATAACACCCTTATAAAAACACATGATCTCTACAATACTCGAAATATCATATGATTTTCTGTTTGCTTATTACTCTTGGAATGCCAGGAACAATGCTTTGTTCCATTTGCCAAAGCATGCCAATAGAATTGTAGTTGCTTTTGCACTGTTTGGTTTAGGGGGAATAACAAAAAAAATATTTCGTGTTATTGTAAAATTTTTATGTGCGCCTGATGCGCGAACAGTGTAAACGTAAGTAAATAAAATATATTTTTTGTTATTCGCGGCTTAAGCATAATCAAACGTAAAGTCTCGATCACAAGGACTAACCTTATCATATAATACAAGTATAATACAAGTATATACGATTTTCCACACATGTATGTATGTATGCTTTTATTAGGAGAACATTTTGTTAACTGCTAAGGTGTGTGATCTTCCTATTATGAGAATTCTTGCTTGTTATTATTAGAGTCTAAATTTTTTTTTTTTTAATTTATTAAGGACCAAATAACCAGGCGCACACAGTCAGGCAGAAGGTGGCCTCGCAATAATTGAATGGTTTTACATTTCAAATATATTCGCATAGCAACAATACTATGTTCCTAATTGCAAGTGTCCCTAAGCTCTTTCCCAATTGGCATTTTACATCTCCAACACTAACAAACGCTTAGGAATATTTGAGTAAAAGAAAATTAAATTAACAAAAACAATATTCAATATCAGGTTTTTATATATTGCTTTATGTGCGCCTAATAAGTAAGGTTAAGCCAAAAAGTATTAAGAGGAAGTTGAATAAAAAAAAAAATCGCTCAAAATCCATCAGTTTGAATATCAAATGGCCAGACGCTTATAAATGTAGCAAAAGGCTTTAAACGAAAGAATTTCCTTAATTTATTATTTACTGTACACTAAACAACGCAACAACACTTGCTCGTTGCAATTGTTTTTCTCATACGCATAAGCATATTCGGCTTGCGCAATGCAAAAGACAACAATGCAATGTCATCACTCATGAGTTGCTGATACCGTAAGAGAGAAATTCCTTTGATTTGTTGTTGCTAATTTACTTTAGGTAAAATCAATATACTACACACATATTATATATAGAGAGCTATATACTGAGTGTTTTTGTCAATCTTCCTCTTTTTCATGCGCTCCTGGTATTTCGTAAACATTGTAAATATTGTTTTCTGCAGGGTGGTTCAGATGTAAAATTTCTTTAATTTTTTAATACTTAAAGAGACACAGAGGGTTTCCAAAAAAAAAAAAATTATTTAAAAACTACCATTTTTTCAAGTATAACGATAAAACAAGCAGTTTAATTTATGGAATTTATAATTGTGCAGAAATTTAAGTTTAACAAATATTTTGGGTCTTTCAGACGCCATGCTGAAATTACAAATCCAATTTGAAAAATTTCAAGGCATTATGGAGTGAAGTGTGCCCTTCATGCTTGAAGCATAATATATATTTTGTGCATGTTATAAATTTTTTAACATTTATATGTATACATATATATGTAGTAGGATTTCTGACTCGTTACTCAATGAACTTATCGCTTAATAATGCCGAATTGTTTATGCAATAGTGTTACATATTCATCCCAGCGTGATTGGAATATATTGCCAGCCACAAGTTCCATATCGTATTTTTTAGCAAAGCCTTTAGAAGAGAATCGCTCATGGCCAGCCACATTTGTATTATTGAGTAAGGGCTCATCGAATTCTTGTTTACCGAGTTGCTTATAGATCAGAAACACGTTTCGCACCAAACCACTTTCCTTTGGATTCAATGGTCCGATGTAGGGGTCTAATACGTAACCTTTAGCCAAATCTGTGCCCGGTATGTTAACCACCAACCAGTGAAGCCATTCGCGTGTTGCTGGGTTCTGTCGCGTAGGTATGTCCGGATTAGTCATTATGATTGTGTAAAATGCATCTGGCTCGGCAGTCCAATCAATCTTCGGCTCGTCTTTAGTTTGCGTCGGCGTGAATTCTTCCCCTCTGCCAACATCTAGGCCGCCATCGTACTCAATCTGAAGAAATTTGTGAACATTTATTTAATAAATAATTTTTATCCTTATTTAAGGAGTGTTTAAACAAACTTATATTGATATACATAAGTATGTATAATTTTATAAAATCAATGTGAAAAGTTCTGAGAAAAAAATTTTTAAAGAATACAAAAATAATAATTAATTTCTTTTAATTGTAAAATTTAGAGTTCAATTAAGCGAGAATGTACTTTATAATTCGCTCAATAAGTTATAGAAGTTATTAAATAATAAGAAAGATCGTTCATATGATCGAAGAACAAGGTACTTTGTATCCATGCTGCAGAAGTGTCCTTAATCCTGTTAAAGGTCCTTAAATATATAAGATGTTATCTGATTATTTTGTGGAAGTTGTAAGCTCCTTGAAATTTTCAAATAAAAGAAGCCGTTGAAAATTGCAGCTGATCTGATCTGGTCCTCATCTGCGAGCGATCAGATGTCTAACATGTTAGAAACTTTTTTTTTTCTTTCTAATTAATGGAAAGCCAAAAACAATTAAAGATAGTTAAAATCAATATTTTAATAATAATAATTTAATATTTTAGTTAATATTAAATATGCTGCTTGAAGAAGGTCTTAGGGCCACTTTATTGATCGAGAGTCTGGGACATGACTCTTAACAATTAAAGAGTGTTCGTTTACAAAATATCGAGTTTAACAAATGAAGTTTGCGAATTTGTTTTGTTTGTTTGTTTTGCGAGAAAATGTATTGGGATATTGAGTAAATGCGGCGATTGTTAAGTAAAGGGACAGTTAGTCGTCCTTAATTACTGTCAAATATAGTGAAAACTCTACCTGTATGCACTATATAAAATAGATCCTTTAAAAGGCAGATATATATGAGTTTAGTTTCTGACTGACTGATTATTGCGCCTTATAAGCATCGCCATGGTCAATCTTCTGGTATGTATGACTAATTTCCTCCTGCTTCGTTTTATAATAAATTATTCTGATAAAGACTACTCTAAAATACTCAAGCTTAAAATTTTCTTAAATCTTGTATTTCAATTGTTCTTTGTTCCAAATATGTACCTTCAACAATTCCTTTGGTGGTTCATCCAATATATCGGGCACTACTTCGAGATCACGGAAGAGCTTCTCAGCCTCAGTATCCTCGGCTGATACACAATTTATTGCAAGATAAATGATTACAAATCGTTCTATTTTGTGCCACATTTGTTTTATAGTATTATATTATCAATGAAATACTTTCCATACTGATTTTCAAAACTCAAGCACAAGGCTATTTATATAAAATGCTTTTCAATAAAAGCTCGTTCACATAACTGTGTTAATTTGAGAAAAATTGTTTGCTATTGACGTAAAAGTATTATTTGCAATTACAAAAAATAATTATTATTGCATGCAACGGACGAACAATATAAATATTTTAAATTAGAAAATTGCTGTAATTTTAATGGTTTTATATAGGTTTGTATATATTTATATATATAATACTTTATACTTATAAAAGTGAAATTATATGATAAAAGCAGCTTAATTTTCCTGTTGTTTCATAACGAATCAATTTAAGTTTGAATATACCTATTATTTTGACCACAGCTGTATTTTCAAGAATGCATTAATTTAGACGATTTGCATTAGCTACAAAATATTTTACACCTAATTGAGTATTTTATAATTTCTACTTGAGCCCTTTTTCCTCGCTTATTTAAAGGTTTATACCCCTCTACTACAACAAGTTGCACAAAACACTATTTTTACTGCAACGTCTGCACATTTTCCTCATTGTAGCGAAAAAATCACAACAACGCACCTGCGCATTCTCCTTTTACCGTAATTTGTTACGCCCCGTAAACATTATGCCACGGTATGTATTTCGAGTGAAGATGATTTTTATCCCATTATCTATTCCTTTATGGGTTATTTTTTACTCCTATACATACCAACACTATTTTCAATACAAGCAAAATTAAATTCTTGTTAAAAAAGAGAATCGCTTGTTATTGTCATAGCACATTCCAAGAAACTCTAATCAGCAAATTGTATTGCACTTCCTCGTTTTCACAACGCTCCTTTTGTCACCTCTGCGTACACACCCGTAACAAGAAATGTGAAAATAGACAATAAATGCGTACATTTGTAGGTGGGAAAGGAAATCATAGATAATACTACTTGTGCGCATTAAATATTTGCTAATGTGTAATGTATCATTTTGCTTCCGGTAGACATTGAAGAATGGAGGGGAACGCTTAACGGAGTATCGATTGAAATTGGATTGATTGCATGTGTTATAATTGGCGCATAGACATGATTTCTTACCTGGAAAAGGGTGTAGGAAACCAAGATTTATATAAGTATATATTTCAATATGTTTTGGTTATGCCAGTAGCTGAGAAAAATTTAGAAACAAGAATATAGATGTTTGCCTTTTTTGAAAAATATTACCTAAAAAAGAAAGTCTAAAAAAAAAGTCTGTAATATCAAATAGAAAGAGGGAACTAAATACCAGGTAAGGAATCGATTTTGAAATCACTGACGCATGTAACTTAATAATTTTCTGTAGCCATGACAATATATGTAGATGATTTTTTGAAAGGATTACGAAAAATATTATTATTGCTGTGTCAAGAGAAAACAGAAACAGAAAATTTGTTAGGAATCGCGCCGAATCAAAAGTCTTTGGTAGGCTTAAATTTGAGGTTGAATCGGTTATGGAGACCATAGCGCGACAGGATCACGTATGATCGTTTTATTCCGTTAAAGAAATACTAGGTTAGGTTAGGAGGTCGATCCTAAGAGGGATCACACTTGGACAGCTTAAACGCCGGTCCGTTGTGTTATCAAGGAATAATAACAAGAAATCAAACCTTTCAGAAATTTCGTTCGAGGTAAACCCTTTCTTTCCGTTTTTTCTACCTTATGAGATGATTCAGGTAGTTATTTCCGGAGTTGTGGCCTACTTTGGTTGATTTAAACAACGTTTCTTGTTGGTTGTGTTGATGACATCTCAAAAGTTTCCAAACTTCACTTTTTAAGCTATGAATTATTTTATATAAAATTAGCTTTGAGTTCATGTAATTTCAGTCTGCGTTCTATAGCTACCATTCGAAGCTTGGTGGTGAATTTAGAGAAAATGTCATTGAGATTATGTCACAGTGCATTCCACTATAATGGATCCCACAGAAATTTGTTTTTGATGATTTTATATTAAGGGCATTTTATATTATCGTAAGAGCAATTATATGGAAGTTACTATGGTCTCACAACGCCTTTAAGTTTTTGATTTGAAAGACAATAAGAAGTCACTACTGTGGATAATAGAACGCGGCTTTCATTCGGGTAGTCAATACAGGTATGTTTCGGCAAAGCGTGCTATTTTACATATATTTTACGAATCTTTTGTACGTATGATGTTTCGGTGACATAAAGAGATATACTGTAACGGTTCGAAGTTTATGAATTTGGTAAAGAAAAGGTAAAAGAGGCGAGTTTTTTGCAAAAAACAAAAAAAAAAGAAGCCATAAACTCTAACGGAGAAAAACGAATTTGAATTTTCCATATAAGTTTCGCTGAAAAGCGCACTTCCACCCACGCATAGTAAACACAATAACACCACGTGATCTTACGCACACTTCAAGCTATTCATACAAAATATTGCAAAGCCTTCAGACAGACACTTGGAGGACGAGACGCCGAAGTTCGAGTAAGTCAGGTGGGCTGAGCCTAGACCAAAGAGCATCACATAATATAATCAAAACAACAATTCTGGTGAAAATGCGAAAAAAAATTAAATGCAGACATTTCTCTGCTATTATACCACACACATGTATGTATATGTGAGTGTGTGATCGATTTCGCTAAATGAAAATAACGACCACCCACGCATGCAAAATAGCTGGTGGCAGCATTGGCAAAGCGGCAAAATGGCTGGGGCACAACGGTGGCTCAGTGTCAAAATCACATATCGATTCGCAGGAACTCGAAGCTAAAGTTGCTCGATAAGCGTGTGTATATATGGAAATACACGTCTGAATCGTTGTCAATAGCATGATATATGCATGTGTGAGTGTAAGTGCATGTGACTACGGATATGTGCAACCAAAATATTATCATATGGAAATTTCAGAGCAATTACGAATTCCGCTAAAACAATGATACGGCCAAAAGGAGAGCCACCAGCAACGGCAGCATCGCGAAATAAAAGCCAGAAATAGTCACAGCAACAACAACAACAACATAAGTGTCTGTCTAATAGCTGCTGCGGCCGGTGCTGACACGGTCTACGCGAATAACGCTGCCTGCCACACACAGCCGCCGCATGCAAAGTGAGTGACCTTATGATTGAGCTGGTGATATACACCCACCACAGTGGTGTCAGCAGCGAAAGATGCACCCATATGTGATGGCTAGGCGTGCTGCTGTTGCAGCTAGTGTAATAATGTTTTTGTTGTAGCACTTGTGGCAGGCAACATGTATGAATGTAGGAAATATATGGTAAAAAAAATAAATACATATGCATATATATGCCGGTAGCTATGGCATTTAGTGTTTGGTTAGGTGAACGGCCAACTGTCTGGGTGGTGGCTTAGCAGCTATTCCGCTAGAACATAACCAGCAGTCAGACACAAGTAAGGAATATCTTTGAAAAGCTGCAAAAAAAAGTTAGTCTTCAACTTGTGCCTCTCTAAATAGTCAATTTCGGCGCAATCTTACGCCTACGCAGTTGCAGCTCTTGTTGGGCTTGCCACAAGCGAACATCACGTGCCGTTTCAAATGTTTTGATTGATGTCAATGTACAAGGTGGAGCAGCTTGAAGTGAATAGTTATTTCGCATTCGGAGGCATCTTTGTATGAAACACTTTACTAAGTGGCATGCAAACATGTTCAAAGATTATACATGTAGGTAGCGTGTTAAGTAAGTATATAATTATAGATGTAAAGAAATATTCTTATAATGCAATTGTTTTTTCTACACCTGTATTAACTTTTTACAACGAGTTATAAATTTACGCCAAGACAAGCTTTTCTTTTAGTGGCCTTAAACACACCATAATCTAAACCATGAACTACTTGTATGTATGGCATTAAGAAATGAATTATTGTTGGATATTGTATAAATACTTATACATTCCTAGAGTTATGTCTTTCGTCTGTGTTCCTTTTTGGCAAGTTTGGCAAGCAATGCGAAGTTTGGTTGGAAAAAAGCTCTTTGAAAGTCCCATAACTTCAAATACGATTTATACTTTTTAGGTTGTGAATAAGGAAGGATGAAGTTGAGTTCGAAGTCTCTTCATATCTTGGATAATATTAATGTACACGCCACATATTTGCAGAGAAGTTGAAAACAAATAGCTAGGCTTTAACTATAACTGTCATCTACACACAAATAGTCATCAACACACAAATTTTATATGACTGTCCGATAATTTCATTTAATCAGCATTCTCGAAACCACATAAAAAGCTTGGATGAAGTGTTATGCTATCTACTATTTTCGAAGCTATTTAAATGATCACAAACCCCAACAGTGCATCGGCTAATACACAGAAAAATAAAGGCTGAACCGAATGTAGCGCAGTTCAAACTAACTTTGAATGAGAACTGAATGTTATTTATTAACATTAACCTTTGTGCTATACAAGTACATGTAGGTAGAGATATGAAGCGACAAATTGTAGAAAAAAAAATGATGAAAAGTAGAACTACAATAAATAGCTTGAGGGAGAGTACGGGGTGACAAAATTTAACAAACGCGCTAACGCAGTAGATTTGCACTTGTATTCAAATTATTTGAAATTTTAGAAGTAAACTCAGCTAAATTTTTATAACCTGAAAAAGTGGCAGTATAGGTACCTGTATATTCTTAGAGAATATCGAATTAATAAAAAAAGTGTGCAATATAACTGCGGGTTAGTAGAAAGTTTGGTTGGGTCTCGGTAGATTTACGCTGAAGTTCAGTTCAGATATTATATAGAGAGATAATCAAAGCTTTTCTTCTTGCTCTGTTTTATTATTGATTAAAGGTTAAGGTTCTATCGAAGTTATTAAAATAATATTTATTGCAATTTGTAGAGATCTATCTATATATATCTAATGCTTCGGCAATAACAGATACTGGCTAACGAATAATGAAATCAACAGAATATATGTCAGAGAATATATATCTACATAAGCATTACATTTTATTCATATGACGCTTTGTTATTATTGCTACTATCATGCACAATGCTGAGCACAGCAAACAGTATATTTTTTACATAATATCGAGTACTT